GATGTCCTCAAATTCCTTGCAGCAGGAACCCACTTAGGTGGCACCAACCTTGACTTCCAAATGGAACAGTACATCTACAAAAGGAAAAGTGATGGTCAGTCATTGCTGGGAAATGTTGACCCTGCTGTTCTGAGAGGCAGGCAATACTGGGTGGAACAAATTTTGAGAGATTAGTCTCAGAACTGCTAAAAAGGGAAATCAGACCGTAAAGGCTCTGGTGCTTGTGTGCCCTCAAGTCATTTCTCACTGAGGGATCCTGTATAGGGTTTCTGAGAGCAGCTGGTGGGTTTGTAGGATAGATGATTGTGAACCACAAGGTTAGTGATTCTAGCCCACCAAGCCCTCTGAGAGAAAAAGGATTTTTGCTCAAGCAAAGATTCAAAGCCTCAAACTCTCCAGGGAGGGTATGAATCGGAATCATCTCAATAGCACATTAGACTTCATGACCTTACAGCTACACACCAGGGTTTCTGGTTACTGGGAAGGATTTTGGAGCTCCATTGGAGAAGTGGAGGCCTGGTATGGTGTCGGATAAAGTACTGGGAGGTTCAGTGGTTCAAAACCACCAGCTATTCTTAGAAACCCTATACAGGGTTTGCTGTGAGTTGCTTACCAATGGAGAAGTGTTACAGTTACTTAGCTATGGCACTTGAGTTGGGCCATGGAGGGAAGTGTAAGTTGTGAAAATGGTGAGGACGCTCAGGATAAAGCCCTGAACTACTAATCACAAGGTTCAGCTGTTCAAATCCACTAGTTGCTTCTTAGAAACCCTATACAGAGTTGCTATTTGTTGGAACCAACTCAGTGGCACTTAACAAGAAGTAATAATTGCTTAGCTATGGAACTTTGTCCATGGAAGAAGGAGGAAGGTCATTGAGTTCCTAATCTTAATATATCCCTTAACGTCATCTGCTTCCGAACTTTTATAGGAATTTAGTTGAAGAGGTGGGGAAGATAATTGGCTGGGAAGGATTACAAAGGGGAATGTAGGTTGTGATGGTAAAGGGCTTTAGGCTGAATCTGGTTTCACTGCAGATGGAGAGAGGAGTGACAAGAGGCCAGGAAGTGGATCCGTGTACAGGGGGGAAGAGATGAGAGCTGCACACTATTAAAGCTCAGGTGGAGGCCAGTCCTGGCCAGTGAACTTCTGAGTGTCGGAAGTGTGCTACATTACCAGGCAGGATTTTCGCTAACACCAGTAGAGCTTGCCTCAATGACTGAAGTTTGATAGTAGTCACTGCCACATGTACTCAACTGTGGAGAAGACTGCTCATTTGCACTGCTAGGTCAGGTGTTGTAACGCATTCTACCCACATGTAGGCATCTACATCATAAACCTGAAGAGGACCTGGGAGAAGCTTCTGTTGGCAGCTCGGGCCATTGTTGCCATTGAAAACCCAGCTGATGTCAGTGTTATATCCTCCAGGAATACCGGCCAGGTCTGTGGAATAACATTCTTGGTGGTTATTTCAAAAATAATATCTTGGGGTGTATATGAAAAAAAACAACCAAAACAACTGGTAAGTGCTGTCAGAAGTTCCAACACAGTGACAGGGGTAGAATTTCCAAGGAGTAGCTGCTGCGTTTGAAATTTGAACTGTTTTGGAGTAAGTGCTTTTTAAGTCCTGATCCAAATCTCATAAGGGGAGTTTATTTTTTAGGAATTTTTGCAGATTTAAACAAAACCCATTACACAGAACACTCCTTTGTAAGGTTTCTATGGGAGTAGACAGTTTTGCCCTGTGTATGCCATGTAAAATTGACTTTAAAATAGTTTAACAAGGATAATCATTGGCTCCATTCTAATTGTTTTTTAAGAAAAACATTGTACCTTTGGTTTTGGACATATTTGAAAATAATGTAATACTAGTGGTCCTATTTTTATTTTCAGATTTATGGTAATAAAACGTTGCCATGAGTTTCAGAAGAATTACTTTTCACAGGCTGGCTATAGCTTGGAACCCCCCTTATACCTTGGTGTGTATGGTAGGGGAAGGCCAGTTTCAGTTACTGTACTCTGCATTTTTCAGGCATTTCTGAATAAAGATTCAGTGAGCCTAACTTTTTGCTTGGTACCGGGCAGTTGGGCTCAATCTTCCAGAAGTGAGAAAAACAGTTTACCACAGTGAGGGCCTGAGTTAGGAATTTAAGTGCTTGGTTCTGTTTTCATTTTTGAAGAAGGAATGTTTGAGGGTCCGATTAGATAGATGGCTTCATGGGATTAAAGAACTAGGGGAGCACTATCATGGAAATTTATGAAACCATGTAGTACATTGCTAACTCACAATGTCCTTTATTCTCAAAGCGAGCTGTGCTGAAGTTTGCTGCTGCCACTGGAGCCACTCCTATTGCTGGGCGCTTCACTCCCGGAACCTTCACGAATCAGATTCAGGCAGCCTTCCGGGAGCCACGGCTTCTGGTGGTTACTGATCCCAGGGCTGATCACCAGCCTCTCACAGAAGCATCTTATGTTAACTTGCCCACCATTGCTCTGTGCAACACAGATTCTCCTCTGCGCTACGTGGACATTGCCATCCCATGTAACAACAAGGTAATGACTACATGGTCTAGAGCTTTTAAATGAGTGCTTTAGAAATAGCTGTAAACTCCTGTGCACATTGTTAGAGCTTGGAGTTAAGGCCTTTGGCTGGCCGATGGACTCACAAGTGTAGGTAGTGTGCTACATGATGGGCAAGTTTTTCGCTAACACCACAAGGGTCTTTTTGGCCCAGTGAGTGGAGTTTGATAGTAATCCTTGCTACAAGTATATTTTTTATGTATAAGAACTGTAAGGAGACTTTAAATGTTTTGAGAAAGTGTTTCTTTTGCTTTTTCTTATGTCTTGTCCTAATTAGACCTCTTTTAAAGGCGTTAACCTTACTGTTTTCTGACCAACCTAATAAATCCTCCTGAAAACATAGTAGATTGTCTAGCTCAAATTGGTACATTTGTATCTGGTCTCGAAATAATTGATCAATGTCTAGGTACTCTGCTGCCCCCCTTCCCCCCCAAGAATTCATTTAGTCATCTGAGGTAGGGCTTGATCTGAATGTTTTTGTTGTTTTTCCAAATTCTTAATTCCATTGTGCAATCAAGGTTGAGAACCACTGATGTGTAGAAGAACACTCCTGTTATTAGGACTTGGAAGAACAAAGTCTTGTCTATTCTCAAGTTACCAAGGGAATCAGTGTTGGGGCCGGTTATATGAACAGCCAGATGCTGACTGAGGGAAATGACCAGGTGTCACTTTAATAACTTAGCACTCTTGCAGGGAGCTCATTCAGTGGGTCTGATGTGGTGGATGCTGGCTCGGGAAGTTCTGCGCATGCGTGGCACCATCTCTCGGGAGCACCCGTGGGAAGTCATGCCTGACCTCTATTTCTACAGAGATCCAGAAGAGGTGAGCGCCTCCATGCAGTCTTGTGGGTACACGAGCCTTGTAACAACTTCCTTTGGTTTGGGGGAGTAGAATTTGTCAGTACCTGTAAACCTTTTCTTTTTTCTTCAAAAACAAAAACAGATTGAAAAGGAAGAGCAGGCCGCTGCTGAAAAGGCTGTGACCAAGGAAGAATTTCAGGGCGAATGGACTGCACCTGCTCCTGAATTCACTGCTGCCCAGCCGGAGGTCGCAGACTGGTCTGAAGGCGTGCAGGTGCCCTCTGTGCCCATTCAGCAGTTCCCTACTGGTATGTATCAAGTGCATTGGGCTTGGTGCTATATATTGGCAAGTGGCAAGTTGGGAACTTTAAAATTCTTTTCTTCATGGAGCTTTAATGCTCCCCATCCCCATGACCACTTAAACATTAAGATAGTCTCATCCCATGTGTACTACAAGCGCTTTTGTGATGGGCTGACCTTGAAGAGTGTATCTGATGAAATGCAAGGCAGATTGTTTTTTGGGGTGGTTAGTGCTGTTGAGTGGATTTGGACTCAATAGCAACCCTGTTAGAGGGTTTCAGAGAGCAGCTGGTGAGTTTTCATAGTCCAGTGCGCTGATCCTACAACACCACACCCGGATTTCTATAGGGGGTTAGTATGAAGAAAATACTGCAAACAGCTGGTGGCTATTACTTTATTTTTTTATTTTTAAACAGAAGACTGGAGTGCTCAGCCTGCAACTGAAGACTGGTCCGCAGCCCCCACTGCTCAGGCCACTGAGTGGGTAGGAACAACCACTGAGTGGTCTTA